GGGCCGGGTGAGGGGCGCTTCCCGCCTTTTGCCTCGCGCGCGCCGGCCTTTGCGCGGCTCGCCTGAGGAGAAGGCGACGGCAGCCCCCCGGAGCGTCTGCCCAGTGCATCCCCCAGGCAGTGGGATGGCGGCGGCGCACAGCCTGGCCGATCAGGGAGCTCGGCAGCCTGTGTCCCTCATCCCCTGGTCCCTCTGCCGCAGGGACGGGGACAGGCTGGACTCGGCGTCGCTGAAAGAGCTGCGGAACGGAGTCTGGCCAGGGCGAGGGAGAAGGCAGGAAGACTGCAGTCGTCCGTGTTCAAGAGGGACTCGAGCTGACCATGCCTGACTTGTGAAAACGTAACTGACCCTGAAAGTAAGCAGAGGAAGGAGAGAAGTGATCGCTGGGGGCCTGCTTGTTTGAAGGGAGACAGAAAGATTAATTTTTTTCATTTCTGATATATGAGTAATTTCCAATTGTAGAAAGTGGAACAATTTCTTTGTGAAAGAATGAAGGTTGTTTTTAAAATGTGTATTTATCTACTTGTTGGTAGGATGCTTAGTTGGATGGCTGTTGGCACTTGGTGAGCCACCTTTATTTACTGGATTTTTCCCTGTAGCGCAATGTCCCTGTTGTTTACTCGCTCCAAGTCAATAGTTGCAGTGAAGAAGGACAAAAGACACATGGCTGAGGTAAACGCTTCTCCGCTTAAACATTTTGTCACTGCAAAGAAGAAAATCAATGGTATCTTTGAACAGTTGGCTGCTTACATCAATGAGAGCTCCTCGTTCCTGGAAGGTGAGCCGAGTTCTTGAACTACAAGTGTGTAACGCTGCTTCGCCCACGTATAATTCCCACACACACCAAAAACCCGTCATTAAGTTAAGTGCTAGACCTGTGCTTATTTATAAATGCATGTCTGTTTATATACCAATATTTATAAGAACAACAGAAAATTATTTTATGGAATTTGGGTGGGTTCAGGGTTCATATTTTAAAGCTGATGATTCACACATGTTAGGAAACTGAGCTAGTTAGTGAGCTATGCCTGGTTTATGTGTTGTTTTGAAGTTTTTTAATAAACTATACAAGACCCTTTAGGTTTTTTGCCTAAAATTCTTTCAATATTCTTGGCTAGGCATGTCATTGCTGGTGGCATGTAGCATATGCCAGTAATTGGCTTTAACAGTTTAAAACATAGACAGGAGATTTTTTTTTTTTAAGTGTGTTGGAGCGTTCGAAGTGTTGGCTGTGTTCTCTTTAAGACCGTCCTAAGGATGAGAATGGTTATTAGATACACAAAAGAGACCAGCTGATATATGCTGATGCAAAAGTGCCACAGAGTGTAATTTTGTGTGTCAAGATTGCCCATGCAGTCTTTGGGTCACAGATAAACATTAAGCTATGTGTGCTACATCATGAAGGGGTGTTTTTGCACAGTACTGAGACAGATGACTTCTGGAATTGAGAGACATGATGTATTTTGATTTTAGAAACACACAAGAATATAGAGCTTGATCCTGTCACCACAGAAGAGCAGGTACTGGAAGTCAAAGGCTACCTGTCAAAAGTCAGTGGCATTAGTGAAGTGTTGGCAAGGCGACACATGAAAGTTGCTTTTTTTGGAAGGTGAGTCACGTGCTTATGTTGCCTACGCTCCCCACTCAGTAAAGCAACTGGCATCTTTAGGATTGTAGCCAGTAGAAAATATTTATAGAAATGCTAGTGCTCCAGCTTTTGCTTGTAATGTGTAATGTGCCTGTCCCTGGTAGTAGTCCTCTTGTAAATTGGAAACAAATATTGTAGCCCATAATTCTTTGATTTGAAAGAATTCTTAAAATAAGAAAATAGAAAAGTCTATTTAAGTTGCCTGTGGCACCTAAATTGTTATTGCTTCTCATACTGCTTGGGTTTAGAAAACTTGCTTTCTGTAATGTCAAAATGAGTATATCTGAATCTCAGAAGCCTAGCTATACCATTCTTTAATCTGACTTCAGGACAAGCAATGGGAAAAGCACTGTGATAAATGCCATGCTGTGGGACAAAGTCCTTCCTTCAGGAATTGGACACACCACTAACTGTTTCCTGCGTGTAGAAGGGACAGATGGACATGAAGCTTTCCTACTTACTGAAGGTTCGGAGGAAAAGAAGAATGTTAAGGTACAATTTCCTTAAGCATAAAATAAAGAAGAGCTCTTCAGAAGTGCCAGAAAAGGAAAGGAACAAGAAAATTAAAACACTATGCATAAAATTCACAGTTACGGATTTTCATCATTAAAGGAGTAGAGATGAAGAACAGGTTTTTGTTAGATGTAGGAAGGGAAGAATGGAGCAAGTTACAGGATGGAACTTACTCATTTCATGAAAAAGATGATGTATTGTGTTTGCTAGTGGGAACAAAAAAAAATTACTCGGGAAGTTTTGAGCTCTGTATGACAGAAGGGGCAGACTTGATAATTCCTCAGTAGCCTTTCTTGACAGGAAAATTTCTCGTAAACTCTCACTAGGCTGTTGCCTTTTGACTAGGACACTCAAGCAAGTTTTATGTGGAAAACATCCCAGGGGAAAAGTGATTTGGAGTTGGGTTTTATCATAAATTGTCTGTGAACAGCCTTGAAGGCGAGATAATTGTGTTAATGGGTCTTAGCATACAGGAAATATTATAAATTATCCATCTTTTTAATAGACAGTAAACCAGCTGGCTCATGCCCTTCATCAAGATGAACTTCTGAATGCTGGCAGCCTAGTCAGTGTAATGTGGCCCAATTCCAAATGTCCTCTCTTAAAGGATGACCTGGTGCTAATGGACAGGTGAGAAATACCTTTCTTTCCTTTCCTGCTTATCACAGATTAATTACAGAAATGTCTTCAAATACAAATGTAACAAACATCGAGGAAATGGACCGCGTTCTAATCTATGACTGACTAAAGTCCTTTGCTGTAGTTAGCAGTCAGAGTTTCTCTTGCTTGTCTATTCTCTTGATAGTCTGTACTCTGTGTCACCTCAGGACAGTGTAGCTTAGACATGTGAAATTAATGCCCTGAAAAGCTGAAACACATTTCTTATTAACTTTTTTAATTCTATTTTTGCTGTTTTCACAGCATAGTAATGTCTCTTCTCTTTTTATTGCTAGCCCTGGCATCGATGTAACCACAGAGCTGGACAGCTGGATTGACAAATTCTGTCTAGATGCTGATGTATTTGTCCTGGTAGCAAATTCTGAATCAACACTGATGCAAACTGTATGTTCAAGTCCACTTGTTCATTGAATTTGGCTAAAATTTTAAAAAATTTTGACATGTTAATCTTAAGAGGTTTTGTTCTGTTTTGCTTAGGAGAAACAGTTCTTTCACAAGGTGAATGAACGTCTGTCTCGACCCAATATATTTATTCTAAATAACCGCTGGGATGCATCTGCCTCTGAACCAGAATACATGGAAGAGGTTTGTGATGTGTTTAAATTCCTCCTCTTTGCATGGATATTATGGAGTCCATTTTGACTCTGGTCCTTGTGGGTAGAATCATAAAGTGTTGTATGGGATTGTTTTACAGTTTGTTTTTTTATTACCATAGTGTGGGGATTAGAGGAAATATAGACTAGTGATCAGGACATGACTCTTAAAATTTCTGAGCTGGAAATCAAGAGTTTCACAGAGGCCTTTTGAAGCTAGATCACTTAGATAACCTCTGGAAGATTCCATAAAACAGCAAAGTTGTTTTTTTTTTCTTACTCTTTTGCATTGGTAGCTTAGACCAGCAGAGGGCATCTGGGTGCCTGGTCTAACCTTTAAGAAGTGGAGTGTAAAGTGGATTTAACTGCATGTGGGGTTTATCCTGTTTATCCCTCAGGTGCGTCGACAGCACATGGAGCGGTGTACCAGTTTCCTGGTAGATGAGCTGGGTGTGGTGGATCGAGCCCAGGCAGGGGATCGAATTTTCTTTGTGTCAGCAAAAGAAGTGCTGAATGCCAGGATTCAGAGGGCTCAAGGGATGCCAGAAGGAGGTGAGGAAAGCTAACAGAAACTTTCCATTTTCTTATAGGGAAGAAAATAGAGAATATCTTGTTCTAAAAATGGTGTGGGTCAGATGATTTAATAGAGCAGTCAAAAACGAAGAGATGACTTAGTAGCACTTTTGCATTGTCTTCAAGGTAAAGCAGCAGCATTTCCTGATGTCCAATATCTGATTGCTTTCTCAAAACTTAAGTGGTGGTTTTGTACTTTCCTTCTCTCAGGTGGAGCATTGGCAGATGGATTTCAAGTAAGAATGTTTGAGTTTCAGAACTTCGAGAGAAGATTTGAGGTGAGCATTATGTGTGCTAACCTTCTGTTTAGATTTTACTCCTGAAAGGCTGGGAACTAGAGTTTATAAATGTGGAGTGGGACCACATTTTGGAAATAGATTATATGGGAAGGAGAAGTTTTGTTAGTGTGCTTCTGCCTGCTGCTAATCTTGGCTGCCTTTTGTATACAGGAATGTATCTCACAGTCAGCAGTAAAAACAAAATTTGAGCAGCATACGGTGAGAGCAAAGCAGATTGCGGAAGATGTTCGTCTCATCATGGATTCTGTGCATATTGCCGCCCAGGAACAGCGGTGAGGAGAGCTGATGCTTGTTGTTTGCATAACTGAAACTTGTATTCTGGGAGAAATTTAAGGAAATATGAACATTTAAAATGCAAAGCAGAATACTGCTTGTTTGGGAGTGGGAAGGACATGTACTGGTATTCTCGCTTCTAGTGAAT